TGTTGTGGCCATTTTGGGAGTGAACCAGGGGATGAAAGATTCCCTCTCTCTGCCTCCTCCTCTCAGTAACTCTGCCTTTCAAATAAATAAATAAATCTTAAAAAATAATAACATTAAAAAAATTAGCCTGCTACACATTTATTGAATTTCGAGCCCCTCCCACAGTTACCTCCGCAGGGCCAGGCCTAATGATTTGGGGACCTTCTACAGGCCCCTTGGGCCGGACATTCCCCACCCCTGGAGGGAAAGGGCACTGGGGACAGCGACCTCTAGTGGACATGAGGATCAAGCTTCCTAGGGAGCTGGAACTCACCCAGAAAAGCCACTCGCCCCCATTCTGCTTGTTTCTAAACAGCCCCCGGGGAGGGGGGTTTTGCCTACAGGCTGAACTTGTGCCGTTGGTGTTGCTTATTTCAACCCTCCTTGCAAACAGTCCCCTTCCTTGAACCATTTTGTGCCTACGCAACTTTTGTTTTGACAGGCAGAGTGGACAGTGAGAGAGACAGAGAGAGAAAGGTCTTCCTTTTCCGTTGGTTCATCCTCCAATGGCCGCCACGGCCGGCACACCACGCTGATCCGAAGGCAGGAGCCAGGTGCTTCTCCTGGTCTCCCATGGGGTGCAGGGCCCAAGCACCTGGGCCATCCTCCACTGCACTCCCGGGCCACAGCAGAGAGCTGGCCTGGAAGAGGGGCAACCGGGACAGAATCCGGCGCCCCAACCGGGACTAGAACCTGGTGTGCCAGCGCCGCATGGCGGAGGATTAGCCTAGTGAGCCGTGGCGCCGGCCAATGCCTATGCAACTTTGACCACTACCAACTGTTAACAATTATTAAGGTGGCTGCTTTAGCACAATTACAGTTTTATTTAAAGATTTATTTATTTGAAATAGTTAGAGAGAGACAGAGAGAGAGATCTTCCATCCACTGGTTCACTCCCCTGATGGCCGAAACAGTCGGGGCAGGGCCAGGCAGAAGCCAGGAGCCTGTAATCCCACCCTGGTCTCCCACATGAGTGGTGGGGGCCCCAGCCTAGGACCATCTTCCGCTGCTTTCCCAGGCGTGTTAGCCGGGAGCTGCATCAGAAGTGGAGCAGCTGGGACTGGCGCTCCAGTATGTAGTGGTGGTGCCCAGGCCAGCCCCCATGCAGACATTTGAAACAATGTGCTCCTTCGCCGTTGCTATGGCAATTTCTTGTGTAGTGACTATCACAAGGTGTCAGAGTAACAGTGTGTCCGAGATGCTGATGTACAAACGCAGTACTCTGAGGAAAGCCTGCAAAAGCTTCGCGGCTTCTAACCTGCCAATCACTGGTTCTGCTTAATTCCGAATCCTCCTTACTCAAAGGAGGTCACGGAGCGCAGAGCATGAGCGCTTAAGGCAAGCCGTGTTCACACGCTGGCTTCAGCAGTCACTACCTCTGCTACTGGGCAAGCTATTCAGCTGCCTTGGGCTTTAGTTTCCCCACGAGGGGAGCAAGCTATTTTTTTTAAAAGGTCTATTTTATTTATTTGAAAGGCACAGTGACAGGGAGAAAGGGAAGGAGAGAGATCTTCCATCTGCCAGCTTACTCTCCAAATGGCTGCGATAGTTGGGCTTGGGCCAGTCCCAAACCAGAGGCCATGACCTCTACCCAGGTCTCCCACGCGGGTGCAGGGACCCACGGCCTTTGGACATCTGCCACTGCCTTCCCAGGCACATTAGGAGGGAGGGGGATCGATGTGGAGCAGCTGGGACTGCAACTGGTACTCCTATGCTGGCACTGCAGGTGCCACAATGCTGGCCCTGGTAAGCTCAATTTTGTGTAGAGAAATAGCAGTGCTGGCATCCCATATGGGTGCCAGTTTGTGTCCTAGTTGCTCCTCTTCTGATCCAGCTCTGTGCTTTGGCCTGGGAAAGCAGTAGAAGATGGCCCCAGTGCTTGGGCCCCCATACCTGGTGGGAGACCTGGAAGAAGCTCCTGGCTCCTGGCTCCTGGCTTCGGATCGGCCTGGCTCCAGCTGTTGCAACCACTTGGGGAGTGAACCAGTGGATGGAAGATCTTTCTCTCTGTCTCTCCCTCTCTCTGCAGCTCTGCCTCTCCAATAAATAAGTAAAATCATTTTATAAATAATATTAGAATTAAAAAAGGAACATATACAGACAGCCCTGTGGGGGATGCATGGACACCCAAACCCACAGGTGTTCAAGCCCCTTATATAAATGCCACAGTATTTGCATATAACCTGTGTAATCCTCTCGTCCATTGCAAGCCCTCCCTAGATTACATGTCATATGTAATACACTCGAAATGCTACTTACACAGTTGTTATACTCCCGTGTTTAGGGAATAACGAAAAGTCTGCCCATGTTCAGATGAAATAATACGCCCAGGGCCGGCGCCGCGGCTCACTAGGCTAATCCTCCACCTGCGGCACCGGCACCCCAGGTTCTAGTCCCGGTTGGGGTCGCTGGATTTTGTCCTGGTTGCTCCTCTTCCAGTCCAGCTCTCTGCTGTGGCCTGGGAGGACAGTGGAGGATGGCCCAAGTGCTTGGGCCCTGCACCCCATGGGAGACCAGGAGAAGCACCTGGCTCCTGGCTTTGGATTGGTGCAGCGCCAGCCGTAGAGGCCATGTAGTTAAAAAAAAAAAAAAAAAAGACAGCATACGCCCAGCAACGTTTCTGACCTGCAGCTGGCTGCATCATGGGTACAGAACCCAGGGACACAGAACACTCGCTGTGTTTGAGCACAGAAGTAAAATTCTAGAGCACATTAAAAGCTGGGAACAGCGCCTGCATGGGGAACATGCTTCATTCGGACTCTGTGACCTGCTGAGAAGTTACTTTAAGAAAGTAGAGGTGGGCCTTTGGCCTAGCAGTTAAGATGCCCATTGGGGCACGTGAAAGGGAAAAATAAAGAGGGGCTGGTGCTGTGGTGCAGCAGGTAAAGCCACTGCCAGCAGTGCCGGCATCCCATATGGGCGCCGGTTCTAGTCCCAGCTGCTCCTCTTCCCATCCAGCTCTCTGCTATGGCCTGGGGAAGCAGTAGAAGATGGCCCAAGTGCTTGGGCCCCTGCACCCACTTGGGAGACCTGGAAGAAGCTCCTGGCTCCTGGCTTTGGATCAGCACAGCTCCAGCCGTTGTGGCCAGTTGGGGAGTGACCCAGCGGGTGTGGATGTCTCTGCCTCTCCTCTCTCTGTGTGTAACTCTGACTTTCAAATAAATAATCTTAAAAAAAATAAAATGCGCAGGGATTCCTGTCCTGATTCCAGCTCCCTGCTGATACAGACCCCAGGAGGCCGCAGAAGACGTCCCAAGAACTCGGAGCACCGCCACCCATGTGGGGCCTGGGGTTCCCGGTGCCCAGCTTTGGGGTCCTGGCTGCAGGAATTTGGTGCATCAACTAGCAGATGAGAGCTCTCTCACTCTTTGTCTTCTGCCTCTCAAATAAGTAGGAAAGAGAGGGAGAGAGCAATGATAAAAAAAAAAAAAGAACTGTAAATAGCACGGCTATCATAGCATAAAAGCATTTCTATTTGCAACAAGTTAAGTGACAGATTTGACAAATTACAGGGTACATTGAGCATGAGGGGAGGTACCTTCCTCTGGTTCTCTTTCCCCGACAACGTGCAAAGCACAGAGACGGGGAATTCCTTCATTTCTGAGGGCGTGAGAGCTGACGGCTGGCACGGGGCCCTGTCTCGGATCCAGCGACATTTCCAATTAAGAGCTACTGGAACAAACCCAACGTTCTGCGGACCCCCGCACCTGGCCAAGGCTTCTCCAGTGTTAAGGCAGCCGGGGTTGTAAATCCCACACCTTGTTGGCCACGGTCCTGGGGACACAGGGACAGCTGGGGACACAAACATCGCGTCTGGATTCTGCTTCTTACCTCGATGTCTTTTTAGTCAGTTAACGCTGGCTGCTGTGACAAGCTGGAAGGGCCACAAACAATGGTTTCTGTTTTGTGCCCGTCACAGTCCCCTGTGTACCACGGACGGGGTCTGCATCCACCGTGCTCTGTAGGGATCTGGGCTAAGAGCAGCTCTCCAATCTTCAGTCTTCCAGGTCGTCTTGGAAACTGGTGCTTGGCTGGCCCGCAGAAGACAGCAGGCGATCAGAGCACGGCACCCAGAAGTGGCCCTCGTTCGCTGCCATTGGCTGGTGCCACGGCACCCAGAAGTGGCCCTCATTCGCTGCCATTGGCTGGCGCCCCGAGACACGGTGCACCTCACTGCCTGGGCTGAGATGTGGTTTCACAGTGCATCTGCACCAAAGTTTAAAATAGCGCGGTGGGCGCGTGGCCCGGTTTCTTCCATGAGCAGCTGCTGCCACGGTCGTGACGTTTCTCCGTCGTCTTCCTTTGAGCCGACCTGCACAGCTGTTCCTCCCACTTTGCAATGAGGATGATGAACCGATTTGACTAAATGACATGAATATTCAACGGCTACGCAGAAGCTAAAGCTTATAAAAATGCTCACCATCAACTTAGTTTATAGGTAGTCATAAAAGGTTACAAAGACCATGTGATAAATGCTTAATGGAAATCCATTATGGAAAATACCATAGTATTGAGTGCATACAATTAATTCTGGACAACTTCAGCCTTTGCTTTCTACAAAAATTGCCTCTTTCTTTTCTCTCTTCCACACCCCAATCAGATATACATAGAATCTTACCCCTCTCTCCACTTACTTGTTAAATTCTCACTTCTTTTCTTTGCTATTTGCTAATATCCTCAGATTTATTTTCCAGTTTGTTAATCTATCTGCAGCTCTGTCAGATTGGCTGATAGGGCTGTCCACTGGATGGCTGGACCTGGAAAGTCCCCACCGCAAATGACAACAAAGTAAAAATAGCAGCAGGCAATGGAAAGAGATATTTGGGGGCTGGGACTGGACACAAAAGGCTTCAGCCTTTCTGGCAAAAACCGCCTTTAGCATCGACGATGTGACAATACAAAAGAGCTGGCTTCCAGAAAACCGTTCACTAGGCTGAGAAAAAGAAAAACAGGACGCAGAGTACACGTGTAGAGGGGTCAACGTTTATTAAATCAAGCCTTTTAAATTATATGCCCACCCACAGTCTGTCAAAATATACAGTACACATGTAAGCGAAAGGCTGGCGGACAGATCCGGCAGAACCACCACAGGGCCCTTGCACATGCACCTCACCCAACACCCTCGTGGGGCTGCCGCCGCGGGGCACGGCGTGGTGGTGGGGGTGGGGGTGAGTGGATCGCCGGCACGCAGCTCGCCCCCAGCTCCCCCAGGCCAGGCGTGTGTTCCGTATCGGAGTGGGGTGGGTTCCAGCAAGGCAGCGGTGTAGTTTTACATTCACAGGTTGGCTGAAGTAGTACGAATTCAGATCCTGATCTGGGCGTCTCCCTCCCTGTTAGCGCGATCAGTGAGAAATGGGAGCGAAAAGAAACGACGGACCACGGGGGATCACAAAGATAGGTACCTCGGAGAATACACCTCAGCAGGGAACAGAGCTTAAGCTTGGAAACGTCGCCTTTTACGTAACGTGCAGAAGCTACTCGGAGTGTGGCCAAGAGGTACGTACAGTCAGCAGAGTTCAGATGAACAAAACCTAAAGTACAAAGCCCAGAGGAGGAAGCGGGGAGCAGAGGGAACGCAGGAAACACATAAACCCCCATCCTCACACCCTGCCAGGACACCCCAAAGCCGCCGCAGCTAGCTCGCCGCCCTCTACTCTGTGACTTGCGTACAAGCTTTGAAAAAAAAAATCCACCGTGAGACAAGCAAAACAGGTTAACAGTGGCCCCGGAACCGCGGGCACTTGCAATATTTTGTGCGCTTGCGTAAGTGTCCATGTCTCGGGTTTTTCGAACGCCCCGGATGTTTAGGGTAGAGGTTTCAAAAACTGCCACGGAAATCTATCATCATTTTAGGTGCAGAAGGTGGGGGAAAAAATCTAAGACTGCGAGGGAGGAGCAGGCCAAAATCCTACAAAGTCGGTGAAAATCCACGCATGAGGAAGTGACACTCATGCGCTCCCTAGCTTATCAAATGCTGCATAAGGTGTCGGCGCAATGCTGTCCCGAAACCTTAACCTCATCTAAAAAGACCCGGGACTCCCACCGGAGGTCCAAGCACTTCTCCCTAGATTGTGCGTTTTCAGCGAGGTCGGCGTCTACCTGGCGTCAGTCGGCGCCCGGCCTGAAAGCTTCACCAGAGGTGGCCTGAGTGGCACTGCCCCCACCTGGCCACGGAGCTGTGCCAGGCCCGGAGCCCGCAGGGCGGCAGGCGGTCGCCCCTCGGATTCCTCCAGGGAGCCGAGCGGCCGTGGGAGCCGTCCCGGGGTCACCCTGGCCTTGAACAGTGCCCCGTGCGGACCCTGGCCAAGACGGCTCCATAGCTAACTGCCCCTCTGTGCCTCCGAGAGGGCGTACACACGCGGCTTCTCCCAGGGGACCCCGGGGACAACCGCTCGCTTCCCTAAGGGACAGGGTTTCGGGCGTGCTTTGTATTTTCCCAGAGTAGTGGTTCTCGGCTGCAGTGAGTGTCGGGCGCCAAGGTTTGGGGAAGCCCGGGCACCACACCACCTCGGAGCGCCGGGTGGGACCTGGGAGCCTGCACTGCCGAGCCCCCCCAGGAGGTGGGCGACGCCTCTGCTCTGAGGAGCAGGTGGAGGAGCGCTGCCCGTGACTCCTGGCTCCGTCCCTTGTTAGGCGGAAGAAAGTGGGTCCCGGCAGGAAAATCCCCGCCGAGGCTCCTGCCGTCTGCCAGTGCCCAGCCCTTACAAAGCACACGCCGGCAGCCAGCGAAGAAAGAGGCCGACGGCGCAGAGCCTTATGGCAAGGAGCAGATAGGACGTGGAGCCTCTGATTAAAAAGAGCTAATTGTTTAAAAAAAGATCAATCAACCCCCAATCAAAGGGGTTAATTCGGTTGGCTTGGAGAGAGTGATTGCGAGTTAAATACGTTCATCTCTGAAACGCACTCCGCCGTCTACCTACCGGCTCGATGCTGATTAAATTTATCATCAAAATACGTGATGAACAACGTCTAAAACATCTGGCTGAGACAGTTCCGATCTTCAAGGCTACCACTGCGGGGGACACTCCCCAGCCATTTTTAAAAAGGGCATTGGATCTGCTGTGGAGACATCCACAGCATGGGAGTTGCACACACACGCCCATGTCCACACGTGCGTCTCCGCCAGTGAACTCCCTCTCACAGTTAAAAAAGTGAACCTGTAAAAATTCACACACATCCACAATGGGGTGACCGTCAGACGAGCATCCTGTTGCCAAGTCCTGGTTTCCACGCGAGCCCGCGACACGGACGAGAAAGGCAGGACTTGCCCGAACGCGCGGCGGGATTCACTTTAGATGTGCTCTGGGTGGCTCTGGAGACAGGACAGCATCTCCTGGACCGGTCTGCCCTCGTAGCAGATCTGGTAGACGGCGGTGAACAACGGGAACCTGGTCAGGGAGAGGGCGGAGGGAGAGGGGGGTGGAGAGGGAGAAAGAGGGAGAGGGAGAGGGAGGAGGATGGGGAGGGGCAGGGAGAGAGGGAGGGGGATGAGGAGGGGCAGGGAGAGAGGGAGGGACAGGGAGAGGGGGAGGGGCAGGGAAAGAGGGAGGGGGATGAGGAGGGGCAGGGAGAGAGGGAGGGGGATGGGGAGGGGCAGGGAGAGAGGGAGGGACAGGGAGAGGGGGAGGGGGAGAGAGGGAGGGGAGGGGGAGGGGAGGGGGGAGAGAGGGAAGGGAGGAGGAGGGGGCAGGGAGAGAGGGAGAAGGAGGAGGAGAATGGGGAGGGGCAGGGAGAGAGGGAGGGGAGGGGGAGAAGGACAGAGGGAGAGGGAGAGAGAGAGGGAGGGAGAGAGGGAGAGGGAGGGGGGAGGGGGAGGGAGAGAGGAAGAGGGGGGAGGGAGAGGGAGAGGGAGAAGGATGGGGGAAGGGGGAGGGAGGAGGAGAGGAGAGGGAGAGAGAGAGAGAGAGAAATAGAGAGGAGGTGAGGCCATCTGGTCGACTCCGAAGTCTGCCTCCCACACTGCACTTGCCTCGCTCCTTTGAAACCACGGCGCCCACTTCCCACGTCTCTGCACCGTTCGGTCTGCACTGAGCCTCTGCACGGCGGCAGTGAGGCCCTGGGTCCACCAGGCCCATGACGATTAAGTCTGGAGGGTGAACGGCGAGCATTTTTACCAAGAAGTCGTGGCCCCGGCTCCAGGGCAAAAACCAGAAGGGGTCCAAGGTTGTGTCGCTATTCACAAATGCACAGCGGGCAGGGGTGCTGTCCCCCACTCCACAAGGGACAGCCACGGTAACTCGGGCCTGGGGCGTGCCCGCGAGGACCACAGCGGGCACCCACGATGAGCCAGGTGCTGACCTCACGTGGGAAGCTGGATTTACTGGGCCTGTTCTTCCAAGACTTACGCGAGGGGCGGGGATGGCTGAGGGTACAAAGCAGTGGGCTGGGAAGAATCCACCATAAGAGGATAACTCGCACCCAGGGAACGCTGGCTCTGCAAGTTTGCTTCTAGTGATAGAAATCGCTTTAAAAAACAAAAAAACCAAACTAATTTCTGGCAGGCTTTTAAACACACACACACACAGCCCAAAGTGAGCCTGACAGAATCAGCAGCATCTTAGAGTCCATTCTGAAAATGAGCTGGGTAGCATCTGTAACAACTGTTACTTGGCAACAGCAACAGCGCTGACAGATCACATCTCTATTAGAGTCGATCACCGTGGCTTTATGTTTTTTCTCCTCTTTTCTTTTCATTGTAGATTTAAGGAGTGGAATGTTTTGTTGTGTTTTGCAGTCGGGTCGGACTAACTCTGGGGAAGTTCACCAAGCCCTCTGCCTCGGCTCGCTCGTGTGTAAAATGGGGCTGGACACACGGGTCTGCTCCGAGTCCTGGGGGACTGACACGTCCAGGGCACGGTGCACACGAGCCCACGGGGGACAGGCGAGCGACGGCTCCTCAATGCCGCCACGAGATGGTCACAGGGCCTGAGTCCGCCTTGCAGCCTGGCACAGCGCACAGCCAGGGACAGGCGCCCAGGGAGTATCTGCCCAGTGGGTTCTTGTGAGTGAGCCTCAGAGCTGGGACATTGTCTTTCCGTGTCTGAGTTTCCCTGATCCTAACGTGGGAACTACGCAGTATGGCACGTGCTGACCGGCCACCCAAAGTCTTCCCCACCCTGCCTCTCCTCTGACCAGGGCGGATACAGCCTCACACATGTATCTCTCGCCTTTCTCTCATAGAACTAGCCATGTGACCCATTCGAGCCAGCCAGATCTAAGACCTCTGGGAGAATCTCTCCTTGAGACGTACTGGGGGGAGAGACCTGCTGCCCCCACTGCTCTTGCTCTCTCCCTGAGCGCAGCAGTGTGTGTAATGGTGGGAGCTGCTGCAGCCATCTTGAGGTTCAAGGGAAGGCTAAGTGGAGACTCTTAACCAGAGCCTCGGAGCCAACACCCACCCTGCCCACTGCCACGCCCCTCGCTGAGCCACCCTTGCAGCCCAAAGCACTCCCAGCTCTGCAAACCAGCATTTCCCAATTACACGGCACAGACAGGAAGCTGAGCAGAGAACAGAGTGTGGCTGGTGCAGGCCTCGCGCTGACCCTACAGGCTAGAAAACAGTCTCGCCCTCATCCTAGACACGAGGAGACGGAGGCCCGGTCTCTGACTCTGGAGCCCACACCCCAGCCCCAGACCATGGCACCCAATTTCTGTGATACAAAAATGCTTATGGGGCCCGGGGGGTTCTGGAAGCTTTCTCTACAAGTGCAGGTAGAACAAAAGACATTTCAGACTCATGGTTGATGCATATCCAAGTGCCAGCCATCCCCAGTCAGGGACACGGACGGCTGAGGATGAGGTGCGTGGCTGTGCCCTCTGGAGCTGGCAACCCTGTGCCCGGCCCTGTGCCTACGATGAAGCCCTCGCCCCCGGCATCTCAGAAGGGGGCTGCGCTCGCAGGCTGGGCCTGCAGGGAGGCGGCTAGGTTCACCCGAGGGCATCCAGGTGGGCCCTCGGCTGCCCCGGGGAGGGCTGGCGGTGGGGAGAGAGGACGCAGGCGGGAGAAGCGGGCGGCAGCCACGCCCTGCACCGCCCCAGGAGAAACCATGCCTGCAGGGGAACGCAAGCCTGGCGCTGAAGGAGATCGGGGCAGGCAGCACACGCCCACATGTGCTCGGGAGACACATGAGCAAGGGACACCGGTGTGGGACAGCTGAAACCCCACTCAGCTCTAATGTCCCCGGGAGGTGGGCGAAGCGGGGGCCTTCCCAGCCGGCGGACCGTCCGCAGCCGTGGAGGACGGAAGCCCCAAAGAGGGGTGTGTCTGGCTCAGGCAGGTACAGCAGGGCTAACAGGACGCCCTGCTGGGGGTTAAGTGAGCGCCAGACCCAGGGGCCTGCCTCGGTGCCAGCCCAAGGCCTCAGGGAGGAGCAGGGTCAGGGCGATCAACTGGTCTACTGTTTTTACTATGTGTACAAGGACAGAAGGGGCACAGAACAGCTAAAAATAGGAACCTGCTGCCCTCCTGCCGACTGCTCTCCTAGAGCAGTGCAGAAGGGGGGTGCAGGAGGAGGGGGTGCAGGGACACCCCAGCAGCGACGGCTGCAGGGACAAAGAGATCCAGGGAGAGGACGGTCCGTCTGGTCCTGGCCTTGTGGCTTCTGGGGGTGGGCGGTGTCGCCTCCGACCACACAGCAGGGTCAGCGAGCACAGACATAGCCGCTCCCTCTCCAGTCAAAGGAAACACCGACAGGCCCGGGAACACAGCGCCACCTGCTCGCCCATGCTGCTCGTTAGAACAGGCGGCGTCCCAGTGCCAGTCCACGTCTCCAGGGCCTAGTGATGTACCCAGACCCCTGCCCAGCCAGCCCCTGCCACCCACAGAGCCCGGGCAGAGGCACGCTCGGAGGCCGCTGGGACACACAGGCACTTCCTGTTCAGATCTAAGAATTCCCTGAGGCCCGACCACTCCCATGTGCTGTGCCGGCATTAGCTCCTGCTGCTGGGCGGGGCCAGAAAGCCAGGCAGGCCAAGGGCATTTCCCTTTGAGGCCTGATTAAAAGGTGCCTCTCCTCCTCTGGTGGCCTGTTTCTAACTCTCCCTGGCTGGTTCCCAAAGCCACTTCAGAAAAACCAAGGGGAATGTTAAAGTGGGAAGACCACTCCCTGTCCGTCCTCATTACAACTTCCGATTGGGACCGCCTCGGCTGGCTCACCTGCGCGGGGGCAGGGTAAGGTCAGGATGTGGGTGGGAACCCACAGACCACCAGCCTGACGGAACAGACGAGGGAGACACAGCCAGAGGGCTGAGACAGAAAGTGGCGATGGGCGGTGGCCACACAGCGAGCAGCCGCCTCCCCCCACAGCAGCTGCATTTTCCCTCCCCCGGGAGCACTAAGTGGAGTTAAGGACACACGCCATACACAGGGAGAGACTCTACAAGGTGGAGTTGGATCCTGATCCAGGGGAACCACAGGGCTGGGGGCTGGAAGGCCAGGTGGCGATCAAGCAGCTTCCGCGGGGGGCTACAGAGCTTACCCCACAGTCAGGGGCAGAACAAGCCGACCTCAGCTCACCTGCAACACCCGACTCTGCTGGAGGGCTGGGGAGGATGATGTAGACACCCATGCATCCACGGGCGCCAGGGACTGCACATCGGACCTCAGCACATGTCCCGGCTAACTGCCCGTCCCTCTTTGCTGAGTTGCTTGGCATTTGATGAACAGCAATGTACCTTTTTCTTAAGCCAAAAAAGTCATCCTTTTTGAAAAATGTCAATCTGTGGCATGGCGGCCTCACCCAACACCCCCACCCCCCAACACACACATACCCACAAGGCCAACTGGGGTTAGAGGCTCCACGCAGTGTCCGCAGGCCTCACAGGCTGAGCGAGGCTGGGTGTAGACGCTCATTCCTGGGACGGGCGGGTAGATGTTTTCACCTCACCCGAGGTTGGAGGAGATTCAGCAAAGTTGTGGGTGCACCTGTGACACACTGGCGCATGGGACTGGCAGCCCAGGGACCTGAGCCCAGGATGACGGGAGACTTACCTGTCGGTGAGTCCCTTCTGCGAGAGGATGCGGTATACTTCCGCAGAAGTCTGAGGTCCCTGCAGCTTCTGCCCATTCAGCATCTCCTTCTCCAGTTCCTCAATGGTCTGAAAAACAGGATCAAAAACAAACCTAGCCCCAGACCAGAGAAGACCCTGCCTCAAGAGGAGAGTGGGGTGGGGGAAGAGGGTGGCGCCCCCTGCAGGCAGCCAAGGGCAGGTACACACAGGCCAGGGGCCGGGGACAGCGCTAACAGAACAGGCCCAAGCACAAGGGATGCTGGTGGGATCTACGGAGAGTGGGGATGGGGCCGGGCGGGAGGCTACCTTGCCTGTCCTGGCGAAGGCCTCGGCCACCCTGCGGTTCCGCCCTCCGTAGCAGGTGGTGATCAGGTCGGCTACCCCGCAGCTCTCCAGGAAGGTGGCGGTGGACACCTGGCCCCTGCAGAAGATCTTGGCAAAGGCAATCATTTCCATGAGGCCCAGGCGGATGACGGCGGCTTTGGTGTTGTCGCCACAGCGGAGGCCATCGCAGAATCCGGCTCCCACGGCCACGATGTTCTGTGGAGGACAGAGCCCCGGGGGCTGGCTCAGCACCTGCTGCAGAGTGGGAGGAGGCAGGGGCTCCCCCCTGGAAGGCTCAGCCCGGGGCAGGTGCTGGGTCCACAGTCGACACGCTGCATAGACGTCCATGAACCACATCAGCCTCCTGGCTCCCAGTCCCAGCTCCGGGTGCTGACCCAGCTTCCTGCCCTGGGGCAGTGGTGATGGCTCAGTGACTGGGTTCCTGCCAGCTAGGAAGCTGACCTGGATGGAGTTCCTGGGCCATTCTGGGCAACTGGAGACTCAACCAGTGATGGGAGCTCTCTCTTCAGTCTCTGCTTCTCAAATAAACATTTTTTAAAAGATGTTCTTGTATGAATGAGCTATTTTGACAAGTGATAGGGCTTCTATATTCCCATCAAAAGGACCCCACATTTGGGGTCAGTAAGAGTAGTGGCTGAGGGGCCTGGGCTAACAGTTGTCTTTGATCAAACACTGTTGGGACAAACTACTTTACCTTTTGGATTTTTTTAAAGATTTATTTATGTATTTGAAAGTCAGAGTACATATATAGAGAGAGGTCTTCCATCCACAGTCCACTCTCCAAATGACCACAATGGCTGGAGCTGGGCAGATCCAAAGCCAGGAGCCTGGAGCTTCTTCCTGGCCTCCCACATGGGTGCAGGGCCCAAGCCCTTGGGTCATCTTCCACTTCTTTCTCAGGCACATTAGCATGGAGCTGGATTGGAAGTGGAGCAGCGAGGACTCGAACCAGTGCCCATATGAGATGCTGGCACTGCAGGTGGTCGCTTTACCCATTACACCACGGCGTGAAGATACTGCAATTTACTTATTCATTCTTCTATCTACTTGCATTGGGGCAGTGTGGGGACATCACAGAAGGTGCGGCTGTGGCCACGCGGTATACCTCCCTTGGTGACTGTGGGCAGGCAACTCTGTAGGGTGCGACCCAGGAGTTAAGATGCTGAGTCTCGGGGCAGGTGCTGTGGCCCAGCAGGTGGAGCCGCTGCTTGGGATGCCCACATCCCATACTGGAGCTTCTGTCCCATCAGCCCGATGCCCAGCTCTTTAGCATGGACAGGACCACAGACAATGTGATCATCTTGTATGGAGAAGACTACTAAGGGTTGCTAGCGATCTGTATAAAAGTCAGATGCAGGAAGCCACAGGAATGGGAAGACCCAGCGTCAGTTTCGGAGCAAAGGTGTGCACACGGCGTGCAAGGTGCAAAGTATGGGAGGTGCTGGGGCTCCTGCAAGCAGACCTCAAAGGGCTGATGGTGGAAGCCAGGTTTCCCTCTGCCCCTTCCTGCCCTTCTCTCCCAGGCAAGCCAAGGAAACGACAACTCCTCCCCAGGCCGACGGGAGACACCAGAGCCCCCTTCCCCGGAGTCTGCCCTGAGACCTGCACTTGTCACTACAACCTTCCCCCCACCTTTCCACGCAACCGCGGGCCAGGGACAAGCTAAGACCCCTGCCCCAGAAAGCGTACCCTGCAGCCCGGAGGGAGAGGTGCTGCAGCCCAGGGGCCTGGCTGGGTTGCCCCCCAGCTTCCACGGGTCACACCCTTTCTGTCCCATCGCATCCCCACGTGGCTGCCCACGCTGCAAACAGCCAGGTAGTCCCGGGTCCCCGGGTCTTTACCCCGAAGGCACCCTTGTCACACAGAACTATGATCAGATACAATAACGTGGCTTTTCTCCTGTCAACCTGTCTTTTGTCACAGGGGTGTCGGCCCTGAGCCTCTGTGGCAGGTGGGAGACGGATCGCCCTGTTTTCAGCCTCCACCAAATGTACACAGCAAACACTGACGGGGGTTACTTCAGCACAGGAAGTCTAGTGACTTCCTTTACAGCTTTCTTCCTTACCCCTTTCCATTGTGTGAAACCCAGCGAAGACGACGCTTGTACCATCGGGAGAAGCAGTGGCCAAACTACCCCTTGCACCACGAAGGCGACACCTGGCCACTGGTCCTCACGTTGGGCTCTGATACCCACTTTGCTTTCATCACAACACTGGATACAGCGGGCGACGCCACGCGAGCACAGCCAGCAAGGAGCACGGCACTGAGGCCGCGGGAACCAAGTTCCCACCGCGGCCACCCCTGCTGCCCTGGGCCCGTGACCCCCTCTGCACGTGGCTCTCCTTATCTGTCCGGGGCAATGGGGGGACTCAGAACCCACCGCAGTGCCCGGTTCTCCATTTCCAGAGACCTCAGAACTCACCGGATAACGGCGGGGGGTGGTGGTGGTGCTACGTGGCCCCCCAAACCACGCTCCCCAAGGCAGCAGGTGCACGCCCACCGACAAGCTTCCCCCGCAAACAGGAGAGACTTAAGGCCAGCCCGGCAGGGGCTCCCGCCGGCTCAAGCTTTCCAGGGCTGCGGTTGGCACTGATGGCGCCCCCTGCTGGCCAGTGGTCATTAGTTTAATGGTTTAATGAAAAGACTCTATTTTGTTACTTTTTCCCACAGGCAGAGTGGACAGTGAGAGAGACAGACAGAGAGAAAGGTCTTCCTTTTGCCGTTGGTTCACCCTCCAGTGGCCGCTGCGGCCGGCGCACCGCGCTGATCCGATGGCAGGAGCCAGGAGCCAGGTGCTTTTCCTGGTCTCCCATGGGGTGCAGGGCCCAAGCACCTGGGCCATCCTCCACTGCACTCCCTGGCCACAGCAGAGGGCTGGCCTGGAAGAGGGGCAACCGGGACAGAATCCGGCGCCCTGACCGGGACTAGAACCCGGTGTGCCGGCGCCGCTAGGCGGAGGATTAGCCTAGTGAGCTGCGGCGCCGGCCATAATGAAAGACTCTTAAAAACATAAAATCTCAACCAACAAAACTACACAGAGTGGCCCGGGACGGCATCTCCTCACAGGAAGAGCGCCCACGCCAGCAATTAGGAACACAGTGTGTGCGGCTGGGAGCCTAAGCCTGCAATTGACTTTAATTTGCTAAACGCTCGCTGTCCGTCATGACCACACACATACAACACTAATTTAAGCCAGTGGTTTGAAACTGTGCCTCCAAGGAGAGCCGCGCGACTTCACGAGAAGGAGTGGAGACCTCTGCACTTCTCACCTGTCTGGGGCTCCTGCCTGCAGGAGGCCTAACTGTCTCATAGGAGCTAAGATTCTTTTTGCTACAAAAGAGAGGACTTGGGGGCCGGCGTTGTGGCGGAGCAGGTTAAGCCTCTGCCTGTGATGCCAGCATCCCATAGGGGTGCCGGTTCAAATCCCAGCTGCTCCACTTCCTATCCAGCTACCTGCTAATGCACCTGGGAAAGCCGTGGACCGTGATCCAAGTGCTTGGGCCCCTGAACTCATGTAGGAGACCTGCATGAAGCTTCTGGCTTCTAGTTTCAGCCTGGCCCAGCCCTAGCCGCTGTAGCCACTTGGAGAGTAAACCAGCTGATGGAAGATTTCTGCCCCCAACTCCCCAACCTGTAACTGTGCCTTTCAAATAAAGATAAATCTTTTTTTTTTTTTTTTTTTTTTTTTTTTTTTTTTTTTTTTTTAAGTAACTTGAGGCTGGTGCTGTGGTGTAGTGAGTAAAGCCATTGCCTGCAGTGCCAGCAACCCATATAGATGCTGCTTCAAGTCCTGGCTGCTCCACCTCCTATCCAGCTCCCTACTGTGGTCTGGGAAAGCAGCAGAAGTTGGCCCACGTCCTTGGGCCCCTGCACCTTTGTGGGGGACCTGGAGGAAGCTCCTGGCTCCTGGCCATTGTGGCCATCTGGGGAGTGAACCAGTGGATGGAAGCTCGCTCTCTCTCTCTCTCTCTCTTTCGCTCTCTCTGCCTCTGCCTCTCTGTAATTCTACCTTTCAAAAAAACAAATAAATTTTTTTTTTAAGATTTATTTACTTGATTTGAAAGGCAGAGTTACAGAGAGAGAGAGAAAGGAGAGATCTTCCATCCGCTGGTTCACTACCCCCAGATGGCAGTAACAGCTGGAGCTGCGCTGATCCGAAGCCAGGAGCCAGGAGCTTCCTCCAGGTCTCCCATGTGGGTGCAGGGGCCCAAGTATTTGGGCCATCTTCTGCTGCCTTCCCAGGCACGCCAGCAGGGAGCTAGATAGGAAGTAGAGCAGCCAGTGCCCATATCAGATGCCAGCGCTGCAGGCGATGGCTTTACCAGCCACACCACAAGCACTAGCCCCAAATAAATAAATCTTAGGGGAAAAAAAAAAAAGTAACAGGGTGGAAGTTTGGTGCAGTGGTTAAAAGGCCACTTGGGTGCCTGCATCCCTACTGGAGTGCCTGGGTTTGACTCCCAGCTCTGCTCCAGCTTCTAGCTTCCTGCTAACGTGCACCCTGGGAGGTAGCAGGTATTGGCTCAAGTAGTTGGGTCTCTGTCACTCACCCAGCTCCTGGCCTCAGCTGGGTCCAACTCCTCCCCAGCTTTGTAGGCATTTAGGGATTGAATTAGCGGATGGGAGTTTTCTGTGTCTCAGCCTTGCAAATTCATTAACGATCCAAGGAGAAGTACCCGAGGTAACCCGATGTGAACCGGGGCTCTGTCTCCTGGTCCCCTCCCACTGCGTTCTGAAGAATGGATGCTTGTCCCACCCATGAGTCACAAACAGAAGCCACTGAGATCCACAGCTCAGTGTGAAAGGTGTGTCTCTGATGCTCCCACGTGGGGACCTTGTCCTTCCAGGGGGCAAGGATAAAGCTATTCCCAGAAAAAGCTCTCAGGAGAAATCAATGGATGAGGGCGACCACTGGCTCCTGGGTGGACCTCTAGGAAAACCCAAATATTAATGCCATCCGTTTCGCAGGAAACACAGCCTCAGAAATCTCCCGTATTTACAAGCAAAAGCAAAAACGGGGCCGAGGGGAACTTGACCGGCCGGGGAAGCTGCAGCCCAAGAGGAAGTGATAGACAAGGCTCCCGATTCACTATTCTTCCCCAGAGAGCGCGCCTGGGACACAGAGCCCATTCTGCAGGGTCCCGCGCGATGACGCTGCCAGCGGCCCGGCCGGATTCAGTGCCTCCGCGCGGCTGACGTTACCTTCAGGGCTCCACAGAGCTCCACCGTGTCCGCGTCATCTACCACAGTGATCCGGAAGTTCGGGGTCTGCAGGAGCTCTTTGAAGAGGAGGCCGTTCTCCATGACTTTGCTGCCTGTAGACAGGTCGGGGGAAAGCAGTTTAACAACCGCCGCTCATCTCAGCTGTCCCATGGCCTCCGGCTGGAGAAGGGACACGCGTTTGTTGTGGGAAAGGTGGTAAAGGCTGTCCCATGGCCTCCGGCTGGAGAAGGGACACGCGTTTGTTGTGGGAAAGGTGGTAAATTCATGGGAGCAGAAACAGAAGGAGAAATGCTCCTGAAATCTCCCCAGGGGTGATCAGTTGCAACCCGACACGGGTCTTTAACTTGCTGAATATGAATGGTTCTTCTCAAACACGGGGAAGCGTGGCTAGGTGGTTTCACCGAGTGCCTTCCCTAAATGTAAGGGGTCGCAAATGCACTCGGGGAGTCCTTGTGTGGGGGTGGGACTTGACCCAGTGGTCACGATGCCCGCATCCCACATGGGAGCGCCTGGGTCCCCAGCTCTGGCTCCTGACTCCACTCTCCTGCCAATAAAGCCCCTGGGAGGTGGCAGGCGGTGGCTCACGTGACTGGGGTCCTGCCACCCAAGGGGGACACCAGGATTTCATTCCCAGCTCCAGGCTTTGGCCTCTCTGGCCACTGTGGGCATTTGGGGAGTGAACCAGCAGAGAGAAGCGCACTCTCTCTCCCAAATACAGTAGAAATTAAGAGATGAATTTATTTTGGCGAGCACTGGGCCCCGCAGTTAAGAGGCCACTCGGATGCGTCTACTCCCTATTGAACCGCCTGGGCTTGATCCCAGCCCTGCTCCCGATTCCAGGAGACGCGCATCCTGGGAGGCAGCAGTGACACCTCAAGCGCTCGGGTCCCTGCCACCCATGCGGGAGACCTGCACGGAGTTATGGGCCTCCAGCTTTGCCCTGGCCCAGCCTTGCCCGTGATGCGAGCGCTGATGTTTCTGTATGTTTATAATTTTCGTGTGGTTTCGGAGATCTCCGATTAAAAAAAAAAAAACCAAGAACAAACAAAAATAAAACCTGCACTTATGTGTGGTGTGTCCTGGCTGCTGGGGTGCAGGGGGAGGCAACCATTTGCCCTCCTTAGCCGGGCTCTGAGCACCAGGGTGGCAATGGACTCACTGTGAAGCCGGGCTGCCAGGCCGACGTCTCCACGCCAAGGCGGCACAAAGTGCCCGGAGCACCCGGCACCTGGAGGCAGGAGGGCCGCTCTTCCCAAGCTTGTCAGCACCTAGCCGTCACCCGGCAGCTCCAAAGACACCGCGCCCAGGCCGCACCTCAGCCCAGCTAAGCCACAGTCTGCCCGGGGCAGGCTTGGATACCGGCTGCAGCTCCCAGGCGGCTGCAACAGGCACCCAGTGCTGCAGACTCCGATTGAACCTCCTCTCGCTCAGCTTCCTGGTGAGGAGGAACGCTGCTGCACACTCAGGCCCGCGTGACGTTCAGTAAGACTTGGAAGTGCAAACTGTCTCCAGCCGTAGGCAGTACTCAAGACCGTGCGTGATTATGATGGAGTCGGCTCACGTCGGCCTGCGTGTGAGTTTTCCCTTGACAGACAGGGGAGCGCAGGCCCAGAGAGGTTTGCCAACCTGCCCACGGTCACACAGCTAGGACACAGCCCAGATTCTAACCCACGTACTACCCTGGCTCTGTGCTAGGCACCTGTTAGGGGTGGGAGGAGAGAAGATAAACAAGCAAAGCCCAAACCCACACACAGCATAATGAGAGCTAACGCTTCCAGTGCAGAGAGACGCGTGACCTGGGTGGGTGCTGTGGCGAGCAGGTTGAACGGCCACTTAGGATGCCTGCGTCCCGTATCAGGGTGTTGGTTTGAGCCCCAGGTCCACGCCTCTGTTAACGCACCTGGAATGCAGTGGATGACTGCCCAAGTGCCTGGGCCCTTGCCCCCCAGGGAGACCCAGAAGGAGTTCCTGGTTTTAGCTTTGGCCTGGCCCAGCCCAGCTATTATGGCTATTTGGAGACTGAGCCGACATAGGGAAGATAGCTCTTTCTCTATTTCTCCCTTTCTCTTTGTCATTCAGCCTTTCAAATAAAATGAAGAAATCGTTTTTGAAAAATATGACTCATGGGGCCTGTGCTGCGGCACAGCCTGCAGTGCTGGCATCCCACATGGGCGCCAGTGTGTGTCCCGGCTGCTCCACTTCCAATCTGGCTCTCTGCTATGGCCTGGGAAAGCAGCAGAAGATGGCCCAAGTGCCTGGGCCCCAGCACCCATGTGGGAGACCCCGAAGCAGCTCCTGGCTTCGGCCTGGCACAGCCCTGGCCATTGTGGCCATCTGGGGAGTAAACCAGCAGATGGAAGACTTCTCCTTCTAGCTCTCTTTCTCTCTCCATAACTCTGTCTTTAAATAAATCAATCATTGGGGAAAAAAAAAAAGTCCGACTGCTAAGATTACACCCATACCATCAAGTATTCACCCCATCCTCTATCAGAGTGACGGGGTTCAATTCCTGGCTCTGGCTCCCAATTGCAGCTCCCTGCTAATGCAGACCCAGGGAGGCAGTGCAATGGCTCACATGACTAGGTTCCTGCCGCCCTCGTGGGAGACCTGCCCTAAGTTCCCAGCCCCCGTCTTCAGCCTGAGTCAGTGTAGCTGCTGCAGGTGTTTGGAGAGAGAACTAGCAGATAGGAGCTGCTTTCTGAATTAAAAAAAAAAAAAATACTCAGAAGTGACACAGTGTTGGGGCCTGCAGCGCCAGCATCCCATATGGGTGCCAGTTTGAGTCCTGGCTGCTCCACTTCCAATCCAGTTCCCTGCTATGGCCTGGGAAAGCAGCGGAAGATGGGCCAAGTGCTTGGGCCCCTGCACCCTCGTGGGAGACCTGGAAGAAGCTCCTGGCTCTTGGTTTTGGATCACCTCAGCTCTGGCTGCTGTGGCCATGTGGGGAGTGAACCAGCGGATGGAAGACACCTCTCTCTCTCTCTCTCTCTCTCTCTCTCTGGCTCTACCTCTCTCTTTGACTCTTTCAAATAAATAAAATAATTCTTGAAAATAGATTTATTCTTATTTATTTGAACGATAGATTTACAGAAAGAGGTAGAGTCAGAGAGAGAGAGAGAGAGAGAGGTCTTCCATCTGCTTTTTAGTCCCCAAATGGCCGCAATGGCTGGAACTGAGCTGATCGAAGCCAGGAGCCAGGAGCTTCTTCCAGGTCTCCCACGAAGGTGCAAGGGCCCAAGCACTTGGCCATCCTCCACCACTTTCCCAGGCCATAAGCAGAGAGCTGGATTGGAAGTGGAGCAGCCAGGATTAGAACCAGTGCCCATATGGCTTCAGACTGGGGCATTAACCTGAGCACCACAGCACCAGCCCCAACTGTGCCTTTTCAGAAGTATGACTTCTAAAGCAAGGATGATGAAGTGCTAACCTTAGTATCACTACCAGCCATAAGCAATGATGTGGCAGGGGCCCAGGCCACCTGTACAGAACAGGGAAGGCCCAACAGCCATGCGGGAGAGTTCCCAAAACTCACCATGAACCAGGGACAGGACAACCCCCTCTGTCTTACCAGTTTTAGAGATAATCTAACTAGTCAACAAATGTGCTTAAAAACCTCTGTTTTAGTTTCTGAGTCTGTGTTCGTTAGATGTCCCACAAGGCGCCCAGGTAGCCTAGACATTCGGCACCGAGCCAAACACCTTTGAATCCAGTCTGATTCTGCGGCCCCAGGAAGGAAGGGCGCTCTCGCCACAAGGGGGAGCTGTGGCTCACCATGACTGTATTAAAAAAAAAAAAATACTAGTGCGTTCTATGCTGCTTTTCTTCTAGAGAAAACTCAAGTGAGCCAAGATTCCTGAATCTACCATAATTAAAAACGAGCTGCGACTGGGCAGTGAGCCAGCAGAAGGGGACTCTGCCTGCCTGCCTCTCTGTGTGGCCATCAGCATCGCAAATAAATCTTGAAAATGTAAAATGCAATCGGGAAATGTAATAAGAAGTCCTGAGTTCAGGGTGTTGGGGGAGCAGTCTGGCCCCTATCAGCACCACTCAGAAAACAGTGCCCAAGAGCGTGCGCGGCTTTGGGCTTCGACCCGAGAGCAGACAGAGGGACTTCCACGTGACTCCTCGCAGAGGGAGAGACTGGGACCACACACCACCCCGGAGCCCAGAGGCTTCCTCCCAGGCCATGGTATGCTCTCCGGGCTCATCCTCTGCCCTGAAAATCATCCACTCCCACTTTCCTCCCCCCGTGAAGAGGGCCCTTCAGCCTCACCACGGGGCCCTCCGTGAGCTCCAGGCTCTGCCCCGCTCCTGGCACATCAGGACACTCGGGGGCTTTTCCTCCCGGCCACCCGCTGCCCACTGGTTCAGACTCAGTTCCCAGCCCACACAGGGGACGTTTGAGCTCCCCTGGCTTTTTTTTTCTTTTCTTTTTTTTCAGATAGAGTTAGACAGTGAGAGAGAGAGACACAGAGAGAAAGGTCTTCCTTCCGTTGGTTCACCTCCCAAATGGCCGCTATGGCTGGCGCTGCACTGATCCCAAGCCAGGAGCCAGGTGGTTCCTCCTGGTCTCCCATGGGGGTGCAGGGCCCAAGGACTCGGGCCATCCTCCACTGCACTCCCAGGCCACAGCAGAGAGCTGGACTGGAAGAGGAGCAACCAGGACAGAATCTGGCACCCATATGGGATGCCGGCACCACAGGCGGAGGATTAACCAAGTGAGCCACAGCAGTGGGTTTTTGTTTTTGTTTTTGTTTTTTTTTTGTAAATATTTATTTATTTATTTGAAAGTCAGAGCTACAGAGAGGGAGAGACAGAAAGAGGTCTTCCACCCCCTGGTTCATTTCCCAGCTTGGCTGTGGCCGGGCCAGGCTGAGCTTCATCCAGGTCTCCCATGCGGGTGCAGGGGCCAAGCACTTGGGCCATCCTCTGCTGTTTTCCCAGGTGCATTAGCAGGGAGCTGGATCGGAAGTGGAGCAGCCAGGACATGAACTGGTACCCGAATGGGATGCTGGAGTCACAGGCAGTGGCTGTACCCGCTACACCACCCCTTCCCTGAACCTCTTTATATTATTTGTGGTACCACTCCTCCCCAAAAATACTACCTCTCAAAAAAAAAGTATTCAAATATATGGAATTGCTGATATGATACTATGCAGCCATGAAAACGTAAGTAGACCACTTGGAAAGTTGTTACATAGTAAGTAAATAAAGCAATTATAAAAGGGCATATGGGTTACTACATACATAATAGTTTATGTAAATTGAAAAATAGGATAAGTAGCAAGGTAATGAAAATTAAAACTAAAACCTGTTTTTCTTTGATTATCTGCATTTTCCTTGACAATGAGGTAAAATCCCTGTGCCTTTTTTTTTTTTTTTAAGATTTATTTATTTATTTGAAAGGCAGAGTTACAGAGAGGCAGAGGCAGAGAGAGAGAAAGGTCTTCCATCTGCTGGTTCACCCCTCAAATGGCCACAACATCTGGAGCTGGGCTGATCTGAAGCCAGGAGCCTGGAGGTTTTCCGGGTCTCCCATGTGGGTGCAGGGGCCCAAGCACCTTGGCCATCTTCTACTGCCTTCCCAGACCACCAGCAGAGAGGTGCATCAGAAGTGGAGCAGTTGGGTCTCAAACCAGTGTCCATATAGGATGCCGGCACTGTAGGCTTTGGCTTTACCCTCTGTGCCACAGCACCAGCCCCAATGCATATGTGTGTGTGTTTTAAATATCTATTTATTTATTTGAAAGACAGAGAAAGGGAAGAGGGAGGGAGAGAGAAAGAGAGAGGGAGAGAAATTTTTCCACTGGCTGGTTCGCTCCCCAAAAGGCAGCAATGGCAGGTCTGGGCCAGGCTGAAGCCAGGAGCCAGGAGCTTCATCCGGGTCTCGCACACGGGTGCAGGGCCCCAAGCACTTGGGCCATCTTCCACTGCTTTCCCAGGTTCATTAGCAGGGAGCTGGATTGGAAGTGGAGCAGCCAGGACTCGAACCAGGAGCCATATGGGATGCTGGTGTAGGCAGCGGCTTAACCCACTGTGCCACCATAAAGGGGAAGAGTGCACAAAGCTAAAACGCCCTCTGTACGGGTGCACGTAAGAACCTGGAGTGACAATTTCCCGTGCATTCCCTTTCTCAGGGACCGGGCCTCCCAGAGCTGCCTGTCCCAGAACTGTCAAGAAGAAAGGACTCACATTGTTAAAGCAGAAGTAAGTTCAACAAGCTTTTCAAAACATCTGAAAGTCCTACTCTCGGGGCCAGCGCTGTGGCACAGTGGGTTAAGCCTCCGCCTGTAGCACCGGCATCCCACGTGGGCACTGGTTCGAGTCCTGGTGCTCTACTTCTGATCCAGCTCTCTGCTGTGGCCTAGGAAAGCAGCTGAAGACGGCCCAAGTGCTTGGGGCCCCGCATCCACATGGGAGACCTGGAGGAAGCCTCTGGTCCTGGCTTCGGATCAGCCCAGCTCTAGCAGTTGCAGCCATCTGAGGAGTGAACCTCTCTCTCTCTGTGTCTCTCCCTCTCTTGTCTGTAACTCTGCCTTTCAAATAAATAAATACACCTTAAATAAAAGAAGCATAGAAAGAGCTGACTGTATCAGCAAACAGCAGACTCCAACTCGGGCCCCGCTGCTCCATGGGGGTGGCTGCAGGGCGGGGAGAAGCCCCCACGGGGACACACCGGGGGCCCCGGCAGGCTTACCGATGGTGGTCTCACAGAACTTCTCCGCGGCCACCTCGCTAGCGATGTTGGCTCCCATCAGCACGCTGATGTCAATGCCCATCTTCTCTCGGATGATGTCGGAGATGAGTTTCAGCCCCTCGGGGCCCTCGTCTATGCCCTGTGACCGTGGGGAGACGTTAGAGGGGAGCCACGGGGTCCTTGCTCCACGAGTAATCTAGATTCAGACGCCCAGTGGCACATACAGCTTGCGACACATCTCTTAGCTACCAGAGTGACCGCATACGTGGTATACAAGCTCTTTAAAGAGTAATCAGGCAAGCAGAACAAAACGAAGCCGGCACTCAGACTAAGGAGGGAACCTGGGGCTGGGCGCTGTAGTGCAGCAGGCTGAGCCCTGGCTTGCGAGGCCGGCATCCCATAGCAGAGTGCTTGGCACCGAGTCCCTGCCTCTGCGTCCGATCCAGCTTCCTGCTCACGTGCCTGGGGGCAGCAGACGATGGCCCAAGTATTTGGGTTCCTGCCGCCCACTTGGGAGATCGGGATGGAGCTTCTGGCCCCTGGCTTCAGCCTGGCCCAGCCCAGACTGTTGGAGGTATTTAGGGAATGAACCAGTGGACAGAAGACCTCTCCCCCTGCCCCCTACCCCTATTATTCTGCCTTTCAGATTGATACATCTTTAAACAAGAAAGAAACAAGAAACGGAACATGACTGACAGCGTCTCTCTCCAGCTCCCTCCTCCTCCCCCCATTCTTGCCTGCTCCCCAGAGTGAACCCCGTCCTGGGCGCCATATGCACTCCTCCCTGGCTTTTCTCTCCACGCCTTAAAGATTTATTTATTCATTTGCTCGAAGGGCAGAAAGAGAGGGAGAGACTTAGAGCTTCCATCCACTGGTTCACCCCCCCAGATGGCCACAACAGCCAGGGCTGGGCTACGCTGAAGCCAGGAGCCAGGAGAGCCATCCTGGGCCCGCACGTGGGTGACAGGGGCCCAAGCACCGGTGAAGTGGAGCAGCTGGGACTCAGACCAGCACTGGGATATGGGGCGCCGGTGTTGCACGCGGCGGCTTAGCCCGCTGCACCCCAAGCCGGCCGCTCCCTTGCTGTTCCCGGCTGTCCTACTACTCCTGGTTTTGGTGGAAGGCTCTGGGTGGCAGTGTACCATTCTTCCCTGGTGCGGTACTCTGCGACATTTCTGCTCTAGAGACGCGTGCCGGGGCTGTGTGAGCGCCCTGCTCCAGCCCGGGTCCCTGCCGCACAGCAGGTGGGCACCAACTCGCTGGGCCGCCGGCTGCATGCGGGTCGCTGCAGTCTGCTTCCGCAGTCCCCATCTCTGCACTCGGGAACACTCTCTGAAGACACACCCGCTCTCTCCACCTGGCTGCTTGGTGAAACTCTCAGATTCATTTTTGAGAGCTGCATATGCATCGAACAGAACCCGCAAGACTGCCCAGGGAGCCAATGAGGCTCATTTGTGATAAACACACACACTGCGCTGTTAACTCAATCAGGCTGAGCCGCCGCGCAGGTCTAAGGATGACGGCCACTTCCGATTGGCCACGGCGCCCGGAGCCACCTGACGCGGCTGTACCCAGATGAGACCGCGCCCTCCGGCGACCGCAGAGTCACACAAGCTGGGACTCCAGACGCAGCCCACGTGCGAGTGGAGAAGATGCCCAGTTCTGGACGCAGTTAGCGGTGAGCCGGCCCGGGGACGCCAGGTTAAAAAGCCCCCGCTGTGGGGAGCAGACCTGGAGTGGGCACCCCGGTGGTGAGCTCCCCGGCTGGAGCCCCTCCGAGCGGCCGCGGGAAGCAGCCCTGCTCCTAAATCTGAGCGCTGCTTGGGTGTGCGCCCGGCGAGTTTTCACTTCCATCCAGGCACCTTTCAAAGCCCAGGAGAAACCCAACGCGGCCACCCCCCGCGCCCATCACCTTGATGAGTGTGATTCCCAGCGCTTTCTTGGGCACCCGCCCGGTGATCTCGTCGCAGATGCGGTGGATGAACTGGTGGGGAATGACGAACACCAGCAAGTCTGCGTCCTGCACGGCCTCGCCGAGGTTGGCCACGGCGACCTGCAAAGGCAAGGCACGGCCGAGGTGACCCGGGCTGCGGTGCCAGGACTCACGCCCTCGTCCCTGCAAGTCGGGGTGGGGGCGCTCCTGTCACGTGCTGCCTAGCACAAGGGCCCCCACGTTTCCTTTCCAAAGCGACTGCTTGGGGCAGGCGCTGTGGCACGTGGGTGGAGTCACGACGGCAGCGCCCGCATCCCCTATCTGAGCGCTGGTTCGAGTCTCAGCTGCTCCGCCCCTGACTCAGCTCCCTGCTAATGCACGTAGAAGGCAGGAGATGGCCCAAGGACTGCATCCCTGCCACCCACAGGGGAGACCCAGAGGAAGCTCCAGGCTTCTGCCTCCAGCCTCCTGGCCCAGTCCCAGCCGATGCCGCCACTTGGGGGGGTGGGGAGTGAACCAGCCAATGGAAACGCATTCTCTCTCTCTCTCTCTCTCTCGCTCTCACTCTCTCGCTCTCGCTCTCACTCTCTCGCTCTCTTTTCCTCTCTCTGTCATACTACCTTTCAAATAAATAAAATCAATTGTATAAAAAAAAAAAAGCAGTTGCTTGCATTTTAACTATGTAATTTGGGTGGACTTGGCCCCTTCCCTACTCCAGGGAGGGTCAGACACATCAACCCGCACAGCCCACGAGGACCCAGCAGATATCTGCTGGGACTTCTGGGGAACAGGCACTTCCTTCCTCTTCTGCAATAGCTACAGGTCTTTCTGGGAACAGTGTGGGATGACAGTGTGAAGTCTGGAACTGCTGCAGCCATTTTACACATATGAGGAGAGACCCTACGCCACAGTGCTCCCATGTGGACGAAGCCAGCTTTGTGGAAGGCAGAACAGAGAAACAGACGAAAACAGCCTTCTGCTACCATTTCAGCCACTGCAGCTGACACCAGCTCCAGGCCTTTGTGTTACAGGAACCCAACACTCTCCAGTGTAGTGCCAGCACACGAGGATCCATTACCGCTGCTGGGCCCGAGGAACTGTACCTTCGAGGGAATTCTCTCTGACCATCTCCTGGCCTCCTGTCTCTCACCCCTCATTCTCCCTCAAAGCAAGCTATGGAAAACAGACTTCTCTTTTCCTATGGCAGGCCACAAAGCCAGCCACAAAACCTACAGATGGGCCGGCGCCGTGGCTCACTAGGCTAATCCTCCACCTTGCGGCGCTGGCACACCGGGTTCTAGTCCCGGTCGGGGCGCCGGATTCTGTCCCGGTTGCCCCTCTTCCAGACCAGCTCTCTGCTGTGGCCAGGGAGTACAGTGGAGGATGGCCCAAGTGCTTGGGCCCTGCACCCCATGGGAGACCAGGAGAAGCACCTGGCTCCTGCCATCGGATCAGCGCGGTGCGCCAGCTGCGGCGGCCATTGGAGGGTGACCCAATGGCAAAGGAAGACCTTTCTCTCTGTCTCTCTCTCTCACTGTCCACTCTGCCTGTCCAAAAAAAAAAAAAAAAAAAAAAAAACACAAACCTACAGACGTCACTCCAGTCTCCCCCTGACGTCACTCCAGTCTCCCCCTGCCTTTCTCTCCCAGGTTTGACCACAGAGAAGCTCTCTGGCCCACCTTGTCTGAGTAGATCTTCAGACCCCCATTTCGGAAGGGGTCCTGTGCTGAGCCCGGGGGGAAGGATCCCCGCAGACCGGTGCCACCCCCCCACCCAGCCCGCCAATGTCACATCAGAGCCTCTTCACCTGCTCCCACGGCCACGGCTGCCCACATTTCACCCAACCCGAGCACAGGAAGGTTAGGCACAGCCGTCCTGGCTCCGTGGGTCTTCAGAGGGAAGGCCCCCGCGGCACACGAAGCTGTGTCAGCCATGACGCCTGACGATGGTAAGAACGGGCTCACTGCTTTGACTCGGGCCTCTGGAGACTCCACCCCTCCGAGGCAGCTCCTCATTCTACTCCACAAACCTTTCCGTGCCCACCACAAGCGCCCTGCGCGTCTCCCGTGGACAGAGCTCATCAGCCTCTCGTGCACTCGCCTGGGGTCCCCTGCCCTTGGCCTTGAGAGGCACCGGACCCGCACCCCCTCAGCTATGAGCCTCACCTAGGCAGCCTGAACTTTTTTTTTCTGTTTTAATATAAAAGACTTACTTTATTTTTTGAAAGGCAGAGTTATAGAGGCAGAGGCAGAGAAGAGAGGGGAGTCTTCCATCCGCTGGTCCACTCCCCAAATGGCCTCAATGACCAGGGCTGGGCCAGGCTGAAGCCAGGTGCCAGGAGCTTCCTCTGGGTCTCCCATGTGGGTGCAGGGACCCAAGCACTTGGGCCACCTTCTGCTGCTTTCCCAGGTGCATTAGCAGGGAGCTGGATGGGAAGTGGAGCAGCCAGGACTTGAACTGGCGTCCACACGGGATGCTGGCTCTGTAGGGAGCACCCTAACCTGTTGGGCCACAGCGCTGGCCCGGGGAGCCTGAATTTCAATCAATCCCTTTCCAGGTCTCCAGCCCCGCTGTTGCTCGTCTCCCCTGCTCACCTCCACCACGGCCCTATCTCCCCCCCTCCTCCTTCCCAGGGTATTTTCAACAGAGTAAAATGAAGACATCAGAATCAAAGGTAGATGGTGCAGATCTGAAGGTCTGGGGTTCACATCGGCAAGGACCAGCTGTGCGACCTGTGGCAGGTGACGTCACTGACGTCAGTCACCCACACACAGAGGGGGGATACGAGCCGCATTTCCTATCTGGCTACTTCCCAGAACGCTTTCAAACCAAGTAGCATAAACGAGAATGTTTTGAAACTACAAAGACCCCATGTCTTCTGTTAAAAAAGGAAGGGGCTGGCTGGTCAGGATTTCTTCGTGTCTCTTACATTTCCTTATAAAAATAAAGGGGCCGGCGCTGTGGCACAGTGGGTTAAAGCCCCGGTCTGCAGCGCCAGCATCTCATATGGGCACTGGTTCGAGTTCTAGCTGTTCCGCTTCTGATCCCGCTTCCTGCTAATGCACCTGGGAAAGCAGCAGAAGATGGCCCAAGGGCTTGGGCCCCTGCACCCACCGTGGGAGACCCGGGAGAAGCTCCTGGCTCCTGGCTTCGGATCGGTGCAGCTCCGGCTGTTGTGGCCAACTGCGGAGTGAACCAGCGGATAGAAGACTTTCTCCCTCTCTCTCTCTGCCTCTGCTCTCTGCAATTCTGCCTTTTAAATAAATAAATCTTAAAAAAAAAAATCAAATTAGAGCCTGCAGGTGGTGGGACTGCTCTGGGTCTCCATCACTGAGGGCCAGCGGTGGCTGAGGAGGTCCTTCTGTTCTCACGGGTGGGTCACTTAGGGGTTAGTCCACGGGTGCGATGTATAGCACGTGGCCTTCACGCATCCGGCCTCTTAAGTTGTGGGAGTGGGCATTTGGCCTAGAGGCTCAGACACCCCGCAACCCACACTCTCCGAGTACTTAGGTTCAACCCTGGCTCTGCCTCCTGACTCCCTAGGAAGCAGTGGGGATGCTCAGGTGGTCGGGCTCCTCCCACCCACGGGGAGACCTGGGCTGAGCTCCTGGCTGCTAGCTTCAGTCCTGGCCCCGCCCCAGCTCTCTCGGCATGTGGGGTGTGAACCAGCAGACGCGAGCTTTGTCTACCTGAATGTACTGAATGGTACAGTGTGTGGATATCTTAGCAGAGCTCTTTCTTGAAAAAGCTGGCAGAGCGTGGAAGACAAAGACGAGGGGTGGGGCAGGTGCTCCGCGCAGTGGGTGAGCTGCCACTTGGGACACCCGGCATCCTATGCTGGAGAGCTTGGGTTCAAGTCCCGGCTTTCCTTCTCTTCCAGCTTCCTGCTAAAACCGCCTGGGGGCAGCAGGGGGTGGCTGCAGCTGGAGACAAGAATAGAAGGGCCTGGAGCCCAGGGCCGGCTCTAAACACAGGCTCTGGGTCGTGAGCTGCACTCCAGGATGGACAATTCCGATCGCGGGGTAGCAGGATGTCACCAGCTTTCTCTCCACTCAGGCCTGGGAGACGTCACACGTTCAGAGTGGCCCGGCTTCCAGGGAGCACGTGAGGACACGGTGACATCATTGCTACAATGGCTTCTCTGTGGGAGGGGTCACATGATGAGTGCGGATGGGGGTAAGGGTCAGGTGGGGAGCAGCTGGGGTCCCCCCCGTCCTGTTAGATTCACAGTCTCAAGTCAGCACGTCACCAGACACACGTCATAAACAGCGATCTGGGTGGGGAGAGCTGCAGCAAGGCCCTCTGCTGGCCAGTCACAAGGCAACGATGATTACAAACCAGTCAGCTACAGGACCGGCGCTGGTGCAGTGGGTCCAGCTGCCCCCTGTGACTCCAGCATCCCACATGGGTGCAGGTTCAAGTCCCAGCTGCTCCACTTCCGATCCAGCTCCCTGTTGATGGCCTGGGAAAGCAGCAGAAGACGGTCCAAGTGCTTGAGCCCCTGCACCCACAAGGGAGACCCGGAAGAAGCTCCTGGCTCCTGGTTTCAACCTGACCCAGCCTTAGCTAATGCAGCCATTTGGGGAGTGAACCAGTGAATGGAAGACCTCTCTCTCTCCCCATCTCTCTCTGTAACCCTACCTTTCAAATAAATAAATATTTTTAAAAAAATTTTAAATGCCTTGACATAGCATTCTCAAAATATACATATCAACATATCATTTTGTACAGCACAAATATATACATAGGTCACTTGTCAATTAAAAAAAGCTAGTCTCTTACCTCCAATCCACACGAGTCAATTAATTTCTATATCTGATTCTTGTTTTAAAAATAGCAATAGTATTACCTATCACTAATTGAATTTTTATTTGTTTGTTTTTAAGATTTATTTATTTGAAAGGCAGAGTGTGAAACAAAGAGAGAGATCAATCCTCCTTCTACTGGTTCATGCCCCAAATTTCTGTCACAGTCAGGACTGGGCCTGGTTGAAGCCAGGAGCCAGGAACTCATCGAGGTCTCCCATGTGGGGAGCAGGGACCCAAGTATTGGGCCATCACCCGCTGCCTCCCAGGTGCGTGAGCAGGATCTGAAGTGTAGGTGAGACGGAATTCCAGGGACTCTGGGGAGAGATGACGGTGTCTCAAGCAGAGGCTTAACCTGCTGCACAAGCCCCAGCCCTACTTGATTTTTTTTTATTTGACAGGAAGAGTTAGACAGTAAGGGAGACAGAAGGAAAGGTCTTCCTTTTCCATTGGTTCACCCCCCAAATGGCTGCCACGGCCAGCGCTGCGCCAATCCGAAGCCAGCAGCCAGGTGCTTCTCCTGGTCTCCCATGCGGGTGCAGGGCCCAAGCACCTGGGCCATCCTCCACTGCACTCCCGGGCCACAGCAGAGAGCTGGACTGGAAGAGGGGCAACCGGGACAGAATCCGGCGTCCATATGGGATACCAGCACTGCATACAGAGGATTAACCAAGTGAGCCATGGCACTGGCCCCCCTAATTGATTTTTTAAATGATCGAATGAGCTGTTTTTAAAAATCATTCAGAGGCCAGTGCCTCGGCTCACTAGGCTAATCCTCCGCCTGCGGCGCTGGCACACCGGGTTCTAGTCCTGGTCGGGGCGCCGGATTCTGTCCCAGTTGCCCCTCTTCCAGGCCAGCTCTCTGCTGTGGCCCGGGAGTGCAGTGGAGGATGGCCCAAGTGCTTGGGCCCTGCACCCCATGGGAGACCAGGAGAAGCACCTGGCTCCCGGCTTTGCATCAGCGCGGTGCGGCCACAGCAGCCATTGGAGGGTGAACCAACGGCAAAGGAAGACCTTTCTCTCTGTCTTTCTCTCTCACTGTCCACTCTGCCTGTCAAAAAAAAAAAAAAATCATTCAGAAATAAGCACATTATTTTTATTTAAGAGGCAGAGAAACAAAGAGATGGAGAAAGGGGTCCCATCTGCTGGTTCACTCCCCAAATGCCCACGACAGCTAAGGCTGTGCCAAGGCTAAAGCCAGGAGCCAGGCACTCAATCCAGGTCTCTCACATGGGTGGCAGGAACCCAACCACTTGAGCCATCACTCCTGCCTCCCAGGGTGAGCTTTGGGAAGTCAGAATTGGGAGCAGGAGCCTAGGACTGAACCCAGACATCCAAACGGGGCTGTGGGCATCTTAACACTAGACCAAACGCCTGCCCCTGAAATAGCATATTTTTGAAATTACTTTTTAAACTACTCTTGCTAAGCTAAGAGGTGTATGTGGGTCATCTTCTTTACTTCACAAAAACCCTAAAGTAAGGTACAAGGGGCTGGCATTGTAGCATAGTGGGTAAAGCTGCTGCCTGTGTCGCCAGCATCCCATATGGGCGCCGGTTCGAGTCCCGGCTGCTCCACTTCCGATCCAGCTCTCTGCTAATGACCTGGGAAAAGCAGCAGAGGACGGCCCAAGTGTTTGGGTTCCTACCACCCATATAGGAGACCTGGATGAAGCTCCTGGCTCCTGGTCTTGGCCTGACCCAGCCCTGGTCATTGCGGTCATTGGGAGAGTGAACCAGCAGATGGAAGATTCTCTCTCTCTAACTCTAACTTTCAAATAAATAAATAAATCTTAAAAAAAAAAAAAAAAAAAGGCAAAGTACAAGTAAGAGCCCACCATACCACGGGTGAGCTGTAGTCCAGAGCCACTCAAGGAGTATTCAAGCCCAAGCCAGATGGCTTCTCTGGTGAAAAACATTTGACTGAAATACAGTCTACATGCCAGGACATGCAGGTAAGTGTACAGATAGATCACTCACAACCAACACTCACATTAAGAACAAAACATAACCAGCACCCCAAGGGTCTTCACTCGTCCCCTCTCCATTTATTTTCGTTTTATGTGTGCAATAAGAGTGTCCTGTCATTTATGAATCAGTGCGGCAATGTTTATAGATCTGACATCCACAATTTTTATACTCTCCCTGTATTTTTTTTTTTTTTTTTTTTGGACAGGCAGAGTGGACAGTGAGAGAGAGAGACAGAGAGGAACAGAGAGAAAGGTCTTCCTTTGCCGTTGGTTCACCCTCCAGTGGCCGCCACGGCTGGCGCACCGCGCTGATCTGATGGCAGGAGCCAGGTGCTTCTCCTGGTCTCCCATGGGGTGCAGGGCCCAAGCACTTGGGCCATCCTCCACTGCACTCCTGGGCCACAGCAGAGAGCTGGCCTGGAAGAGGGGCAACCGGGACAGAATCCGGCGCCCCGACCGGGACTAGAACCCGGTGTGCCGGCGCCGCTAGGCGGAGGATTAGCCTAGTGAGCTGCGGCGCCAGTGGTCTCCCTGTATTTTCAACTAGGACAAATAAGTCTGTCTGGGTCTGGCTTATTTCACTTAGCATAGTGATCTCCCCACACTTCAGACCCACTTAAGTGCCGTGCACATGCGCTTGAAGCATAAAGAGGAACACGCGTGTACTGCCCAGCAGCTGAGGAAGAGACATTTCCAACACCCGCTGCCGCGTCCCGGGGAGGAGGCAGGCTGTGATTCTGAAGCACTGCTGTGAGTGGCGCCACCACCGTGGAAACCACAGTGTGAGGGGCCCTGCGACCCTGGGTTGCACTCCTGGGACTCGCAAGGTCGTTCCCAGCAGCGCCCTCCGTGACAGCACACGGCCAGCGTCAGCTCCAGAGAACGCGTCTGTGTGTGTTCACGAACCTGCAAGGCCGTGGACACCAGGCGGGTCCTGGGAGTAGACGCTCTCTCCTTTCTCTCCCTACTCGTCCACACCTGGGGACCTGGGCGGGCGGCGGAGCCAGGCTGAGTGGGGGTGGCTCTGGAATCCCTCACACTCACCCTGTTCACAGCACAGCTCTAGCTGCCCGCAGTCATTTTCCCAATAACCTTGAGAAGCGACGGTAGGAAACGCAAGGGGCTAGGTTCTGTGGGCGAACAAAGAGCCAGCAAGTGGGGCTGGCCTTGTGGTTTAGTGGGTTGAGCCACACTGCCTGCAATGCCAGCTTCCCATACGAGCACTGGTGCGAGTCCTGGCTGCTCTGCTTCTAATCCAGCTCCCTGCTATCATGCCTGGGAAAGCAGCGCTGGGTGGTCCAAGATGAAGTCTCAGGATCCTGGCTTTGGCCTGGCCCAGCCCTGGCGGTTGAGGCCATTTGGGGAGTGAACCAGCAGATGGAAAAATCTCTCTCTCTCTAACTCTGCCTTCCAAATAAAATAAACACATCTTTTAAAAAAAATGAAGCCTTTAGTTTACAGAAGAGAAGAAACAATCAATTCTGATAAAAACAAGAAAAGTGATGGGGCCGGCTTAGTAGGTTAAGCCTCTAGCATCCCATGTGGGTGCCGGTTCAAGTCCCGGCTGCTCTACTTCCAATCCAGCTCTCTGCTATGGCCTGGGAAAGCAGTGGAAGATGGCCCAAGTCCTTGGGCCCCTACACCCACGTGGCAGACCAGAAGAAGCTCCTGGCTCCTGGCTTCGTACTGGCACAGCTCCAGCCATTACCACCATTTGGGGAGTGAACCAGTGGATAGAAGACCTCTCTCTCTGTCTCTCCCTGTCTGCTGTGACTCGACCTCTCAAATTAATAAATAAATATTAAAAGAAAAGAAAAGTGAAACTTAATTTTCTGCCCCAAAGCTGCGGCAGGATCAGCTGTTCCTTTTCCCCTCTCCGCAGGATTCCCGTGGCCTAACTTCCAAGTTCCCGACCCTAAGGGTCCAGCACCAAGAACAACTGTGGGGAAGGCCGGCTCACCCCGGCTCAGGGACACAGGGTGGGAGGCTGTCTTTGCCTTGGGGCAACAGAGTCTGCAGGCTCAGCAGGGAGCCCCCCAGGAAGCAGGGCACACCTCTGCCCTGCATGACCTTGGGCAGGGCTGTCAAGGTCACTAGCCGCCAGAGACTTGGGTTCCTCCAGCAAACAACCAGACTCGTGATCCTAATGGGAAAAGGAACAGGATCAACCAAAGAAGGATTCCAGGAGACAAAATGCACAGTGCTTAGTGCCGCGTCTGACACTGAGCAACGCTGTGACCCCAGCACACAGGGCTGCAGAAAGCTGGGCTCTGCACCTCAAACCTCGCCACGTGCATTGGGTTACACGTCAGTCGCCCCTGCTCATCTCCCTCCAGCAGCCAAGTCCGTCTTTCTCCCGTTCCCGTGCCTAGCACCTGACACTGAGTCTTGCATGCACGGCACATGCTCAGAAAGCATTGATGAGTAGACACAGGCAGCCAAGGGCACTTCGTTAGCAAGAGAGGTGACTTCTCAAGTTAACCACAGGAATCGGACAGCTGAAGACGTTGGCAGCGGACTGACAGAAAGCCACCGAGAGGCGAATCTGGCGACCAAGTTCTTAATTCCACAAGGATAAGCGGCAGGCACCTCCCCCTGCCCCCGGCATCACTCCCCATGCTTCTTCCTTGTCCTGCAAGCCAACAAGACGAGCCCAGGGAAGGGCCTCTGTTACCCTCTCCCACGCGTACAAGCTTGAGTTTTCAAGTGTCAATGCCTCGCTTTCTCCTCGCTCCCTCTGGGAGTCAGGCCTGGACCCTGATTTTAATGACAGGCCAGAGCATTGGCCCAGGAGAACCATGGCGTCTCAGGAGCTACCTGCGGGGTTTGAACAGCCAAAGGCAAGGCTGTTAGTTCAGCTCCCATGCGGTCAACGCTCCCAACTCCAAGGAAGACACCATCATGGGCTGAAGTGCATCCCCACCAAGATTCAAATATCCAAGTCCTAACCTCAGTACTTCGAGCGTCATTGTCTTTGGAGACCTGTGTCTTAAAAAGGTGCAAGCGCCTGCCAGTGATGTCGGTCGGCACAGGCAGGCTCGGAGGCAAGGCCACGGGGAGACACAGCCGAGCTTACGCCAAGGGGAGCCGTCTCAGAAGAAATCAACACCCCGATCTCGTATTGGAAGCCTCCGGAATTGTACAAAAATTAATTTCTGCTGTTGAAGCCAGCACGCCTGGGGCCTTGTGCCATGGGGCATTTTCAGAGTCAGGAAAATCCACCCAACAAGGGGAAGGGAGCAGGAGGAGAGGTGGGCAGCTCCCCCATTTCCAGATCCCGGAACCGCTCAGCAGAAGGAGCCCAACGCACTTGCGCCCCAGAGGCTTACCACGTTTTCCGGCAGCTTGTGACCGGGGAGATACTTGACATTTTCGTGGTCGTTATTGATGATGTCTGTCAGTTTCCTCCCATTAACGGTTTCTTCAAAGACCCACATCTTGACTGTGGAGGCAAACTTCTGAAGTTTCTTGACATTATTGCCAATGATTTTTGCAACAGCGGAACCCCTGGGAAAGCAATCGCGGAAAAGAAAAACATAAAACTCGGTTGGGCAGAAGAGTAAGAAGCATTTAAGCAGGATCCAAGAGATGTGTTGTGAACTTGATTCAAGCACGGGGCTTCACTCAACACGTGATGTGCGTCAGGCTTGAGCCTTCGGAAACGCCACCCCCTGCGGTCAGAAAAGCTCAGAACGCGTACAAGGTCTAAAGCACCACTCCCTGAAACTTCAGGTTGAACATCCCACATCTGAAAACCCCAAATCCAACACGCTCCCAAATTCAGAATTTGGGAGACCTGGATGGAGTCCCAGGCTCCTCCTGGCTTTGTCCTGGACCAGCCCTGACCACTGTGGCCACTGGGGGAGTGAACCAACAGATGGAAAGTCTCTCTCTCCCTCTCTCTCTCTCTCTCCCTCTCCATCCCTCTCTCTGTCACTCTGCCTTTCAAATAAATAAGTCTTTTTAAAAAATTATAAAAATCATTATATAAAATTACCTTCAGGCTATGTGCATAAATAAGGTATATATGAAATATAAATGAACTCTGTGTTCAGACTGGGATCTCAGCCCCAAGACATCTCATTATACATATGGAAATATTCCAAAATCTGAAAGACTTTTGGTCCCAGGCATTTAGGAAGGGAGATATTCAAACTGTACTAGGAATTAGCCTATCTTGAGGAGAGAGTCATGGGCAGAAGAGAAAGCCACCCAAAGGCATGAAGATGACACCAGGCTTTTCAAAGCCTCAATGGAAACAAGGTTATATTCCAAATTCATCGAGGAGGGCAATACGTAGCTACAGCAAAACACGCTGTGTTCAGATGAGCTGCAAGACCCAAGGTAGAATCCTAATGGAACAACAAGGACCTGAGTGGATGCCAGGAAGGGAGAAGGGAAGAGGGCTGCCCCCAGGTCTCCAGGTGGTTTGCATCCCTCCCCACCCTCTGCCCCTGTCCCCACACTCCCTTCTCCGCCACCTGGTAAGAGACATCGCCCATAGACTGCCCTACAGGGGAGGAGGAGAACTCCAGCCTAGTTAACACCAGTCCTGGGCAGCGATGATGCAGGCTCCAGAGGGGGGCTGGCCCAGGCACCTGTGCCTCCCCACAGAATCCGTTCATTGGGCGGCGGTGGACACCTGATGCCAGCTCAGCCAATCAGCCTCTGCCTCAGGACTTTGAACTTTGTTTCTTAGACAACTCTGCAGGTGTGAGGAGCAAATCACAGACCACGCTACTCAAGACAGTCTGGTGAGATGGAGTGGTTAGGGAGTGACCACAGAGAAGGGGCAGCCAAGCTGATGCAGAAGAACTTAGAGACACGGATCCCTACTCCCGGATGACCTCAGCTGTTCCAACCCAACGCCGGCTCGTTCCAGCATGGCAATCTTGGTGCTCTAACAACCAGGAAATGCAAAGAGTTCTATCATGCATGATAAGTATTCTTCCTCTCCTGAGTCGGAATTGATAAACTAAACCAGTGCCTCTCAATGTTGGCTGTCCACTAGAGTTACCTGGGAGATTTAAAAGAACCTGACTCCCAGGCCACACCCCAGGACAATGAGCCTGGCACCTCTACGGCGGCATCAGGCCATCTGTAATTTTTAATTTACTTGAGAGGGAGAGAGACGGATACCCAGGAGCAATCTCCCACACACTGGTTCACTCCTCAGACGCCGGTGATTGGCTGGAGCTGAGCTGAGGCTAAGGCAGGAACCAGGAACTCAATTATGGTCTCCCATATGGGTGGTAGGGACACGGCTACTTGAGCCATTAATACTATCTCCCGGCCGGCGCCGCGGCTCACTAGGCTAATCCTCCACCTAGCGGCGCCGGCAAACCGGGTTCTAGTCCCGGTTGGGGCGCTGGATTCTGTCCCGGTTGCCCCTCTTCCAGGCCAGCTCTCTGCTGTGGCCAGGGAGTGCAGTGGAGGATGGCCCAGGTGCTTGGGCCCTGCACCCCACGGGAGACCAGGAAAAGCACCTGGCTCCTGGCTCCTGCCATCGGATCAGCGCGGTGCGCAGGCCACGGCAGCCATTGGAGGGTGAACCAACGGCAAAAGGAAGACCTTTCTCTCTGTCTCTCTCTCTCACTGTCCACTCTGCCTGTCAAAAAAAAATAATAATAATAATAAAATAAAAAAAATACTATCTCCCAGGGTCTGCACAAGCAGGAAGCTGGAGTCCAGAGCCACAGGTGGAGGGGCTGGCGCTGTGGCGTAGCAGTTAAAGTTACCACCTGCAACACCGGCATCCCATATGGGTACCGGTTCGAGTCCTGGCTGCTCCACTTGCGCTCCAGCTCCCTGCTAATGCACCTGGGAAAGCAGTGGAAGACGGCCCCAGTGCTTGGGCCCCTGCACCCACATGGGAGACTCGGAAGAAGCTCTTGGCCCCAGGCTTTGGCCTGGCCCTACTTGGCCATTCCAGCCATCTGGAGAGTGAATCAACAGATGGAAGACCTCTCTCTCTCTGTCTCTCCCTCTCTCTCTTTGTAACTCTGACTTTCAAATAAATAATTAAAAAAAAGAGAGAGTCATAGTTGGGTACTAAACGCAGGTGCTCCAGTGTGGATAAATGTCTGCCCCCGCCTGCAGTTTCTGAAGCTCCCCAGTAGCTCAGCCCGGGCTCCACGAGGCTGCTCTGCCCAGTGATCTAGAATTCAGATGTGTTCCTTGCTCACAACATAGCTATAAATATCAGGGCCATGCAGCTGTGCCTGCAAAATCCTCATTGCATGCCATCAGGATAGCTCATTCCACACTCATTCATCCAATGCTCCCGCACTCTGTAGGAGGGAGGCCAGGAATCGCCCCACCACCACCATCACCTTGAGTCTAATCTGAGACACAGCTGCTCGCACACTCGGCAGCCCAGAGCGTTCTACAGCTTCAGGGAACTCACACAAGGTCAACGAGAGCCAGGGGGGGGCGGGGCGGGGGGGGATGTGGACTCTGAGGGTCCGAGCATCAGTGGGTGGAGGGCCAGCAGACCCCAGGAGTCAGAGTCTGGTGCCCCAAGAGGGTAAACAAGTACTCAAGAATACACAGCCGCCTCCCAGGGAAGGAAAACACTTGCAGCCAAGGGGCATTTTGTCTGCAGTACCCGCTGGAATGAATTAGGAAAATGCAAGTGACCACTGGTGCTGTGCAGAGCTGAGCCCACCAGACCGTGTCTGTCCATTCTTTGGGGTTCAGAGGGGCTTAAACTGACAGGACAAGGAGTGAGGGACACCCCAGCTACACCGCTTACTTCTGTGGGGTTGTCGAAAACAGGTCTCTGTGCTCAGGGAACTGTTCCAGCAGGCACACGGACCAATGGGACTGCACCTTGTGCGGCTGACACAGTGACACAGGGGCCCCTGCAGGTGTCAGGGAGTTCCGGGCGGGGCTGGGGGGTGGCCAGGAGGAGAGAGAGAGGGCTAGGGCTGGGCTCTGAGGGCTGGGCTGAGTGGCCCTACCTGGGGAGGGGCTAGAGAGTCCCTGAGGATGGGGAAGGCCCCTGGAACAAAGGTCAGCACTGAAAATTCTCTCCTGCAGGGACACAGTGACATAGCACTGCCATCACTCAAACAGCGCCTCCAGGGAGGGGGCAGGGGAGGGAGTGGGGGGAATGAGGAGGAGGGGAGGGAGAGAGGAGGCAGGAGAAGGAGATGGTGGGACGGCGTGGGGGGGGAGGAGCTTGGAAGAGGAGGTGAGGGGTGCACAGGGGCAGAGACGGCTTCAGTAGCACAAAGCAGGGCGATTTGGTGCCCGTCTGTTGCAAAATGCCAGTTGCCCAATTGCCCATCCAGGGGCAGGCGCTGTTATTAACCCCTTCCTTAGTGAAGAAGCTGGACTTGGAGGGGTTGTGCGCTGCAGGCCGGGTCTTCGTAGCTCTGCGCTCTGCCCACTGCACTGGGTCCCGGCTGATGACACCCACAGCCGCACATCCTGATCTCCAGCTCAGCGACCCCCAGCAGGGCCCAGGCACTTGCTCTCTGCCCACGGCCTCCACGGCCTTCCTCTCTAAAAAGGTGTAATGTGTTCCTCAGGCTGGGGATGTGCCACATCAGCCAGGGAACCTGCAGCCCCTCCCTCTCTGTTGCCAAGGAGGATGTTGAGGGGTCCGGGGAGGATAAGTGGCATGGGCTCAGCCAGCCTCCCCCCCTCCCACGCCCATCACTTCCTCGGGGCTCATCTCCAGTATGGCTTCATGAGCAAGAAAGTGGCCAGTTTGGCTTAGCAGTTAATAAATTCCCAGAGCTGGCATGTGGCTTAGTAGGTTAAGCCTCTGCCAGCAGTGCCGGAGTCCCATATAGGCGCCGGTTTGAGTCCCTGTTAGTCCTTTTTATTTAAAAAAATAATAATAAAAAAAAAAAGGTTTATTCATTTATTTGAAAGGCAGAGTTACAGCGTCCACATGGGAGGCCAGCATTGCAGGCGGCGGCTTTACCCGCTGTGCCACAGCACCAACCCCTGTTCTTTTGATCCAGTGCCCTGCTAATGACCTGGGAAAGCAGCAGAAGATGGACCAAGTGCCGGGCACCTGCATCTGCATGGGGGACTCTGGAGAAGCTCCTGGCTCTGGCTTGAGATCAGCTTAGCTCTGGCTGTTGTGGCCATTTGGGGAGTGAACCAATGGATGGAAGACCTCTCTCTTTGTCTTTCTCTCTCTCTCTCCCTCTCAGTGTGTGTAACTCTGCCTCTCAGATAAATAAATAAATCTTCAAAAGAGAGAGAGAGAGAGAGATAAAGGCCCACATTAGAAAGCCCAGGTGGGATAACTGGCTCCAGCTCTGGACTCCAGCTTCCTGCTAATGCAAACCCTGGGAGGCAGTAAGTTCCAGACTCCTGCTGCCAGCCCTCCCGCCGCCTGTGGCCATTTGGGAAGTAAACCTACAGATGGGAGTGCTTTCTCTTTATCTCTGTCTCCCACATAATAATTTTTTAATGAAAAAAAATTTGGTTGAAATAACACCTACACTCACAAAAGCAACACAGGAAAGAAAAAAATAATTATGACT